GTTATCAAGAGAAATCTCCACAGCCTTCATCGGATCTTTAACAATGTCAAAGCTTTGAGTCACATTCATCCTGCTAGAGGTCAAATATTTACCAGGTTCCAGCCAGTGAAGGGCCTTGTTCTGCAGTCCTGAGCCTCCCTGAGCACATTTAATGGACTCAGAGGCAGGACCGGCCGGCCATGTTCTGGTGTCCTCGGTGGCGGCTGCTGACCCATGGCCCGTGTCAGTAAACACATCATCTTCAATCAGCCGCGCTGTCTCCTCGCTCCGGTCGGTGGATCCTCCAGCGGAAACAGACCAGAGAAACTCAAAGCTCTGCCAGGAAACCAACCTCAAACCTGAATGTAACTTTAGTTTTACCTGATGATTCAGGCGGAGATGAACTTAACTTTACAGCACGATCAGGGGAAAGTGGAGGAAATTATATCAACTCAAGTCGTTTCTCATCCAGGACTGGACTGGGAATCTGTCCATTGTGGAAACGACCAGGCAGGGTTAGCTAACTGTGGATTAATGTCCGGTCAGGGTTAGCTAACTGTGGGCTAATGTCCAGTCAGGGTTAGCTAACTGTGGGCTAATGTCAAGTCAGGGTTAGCTAACTGTGGGCTAACGTCCAGGCTGGGTCAGCTAACTGTGGGCTAACGTCCAGGCTGGGTCAGCTAACTGTGGGCTAATGTCCAGGCAGGGTCAGCTAACTGTCAGCTAACTGTGGACCAGGCTGGGTCAGCTAACTGTGGGCTAACGTCCAGGCTGGGTCAGCTAACTGTCAGCTAACTGTGGGCTAACGTCCAGGCTGGGTCAGCTAACTGTCAGCTAACTGTGGACCAGGCTGGGTCAGCTAACTGTGGGCTAACGTCCAGGCTGGGTCAGCTAACTGTGGGCTAACGTCCAGGCTGGGTCAGCTAACTGTGGGCTAACGTCCAGGCTGGGTCAGCTAACTGTGGGCTAACGTCCAGGCTGGGTCAGCTAACTGTGGGCTAACGTCCAGGCTGGGTCAGCTAACTGTGGGCTAATGTCCAGGCAGGGTCAGCTAACTGTCAGCTAACTGTGGACCAGGCTGGGTCAGCTAACTGTGGGCTAACGTCCAGGCTGGGTCAGCTAACTGTCAGCTAACTGTGGGCTAACGTCCAGGCTGGGGTCAGCTAACTGTCAGCTAACTGTGGACCAGGCTGGGTCAGCTAACTGTGGGCTAACGTCCAGGCTGGGTCAGCTAACTGTGGGCTAACGTCCAGGCTGGGTCAGCTAACTGTGGGCTAACGTCCAGGCTGGGTCAGCTAACTGTGGGCTAACGTCCAGGCTGGGTCAGCTAACTGTGGGCTAACGTCCAGGCTGGGTCAGCTAACTGTGGGCTAATGTCCAGGCCGGGTCAGCTAACTGTGGGCTAATGTCCAGGCCGGGTCAGCTAACTGTAACTGTAGCAGTGATTAGAGGCTTCTATACAAAAACACTTAGAGCCTCAATCCGAGATCCCAGCAGCAGCTCAGGCTCTTAAACAACACATTCCTGAAGAAACCATCAGTCAGTGAGATTTACAAGATAGATGAGCAATGAAAATACATAAAATATATAATACCCAGAAACATTAACACAAACTCCAGCCACAGTCTGGCCTTTGAGACTTTATTTCTGCAGCTGGACAGAGAATGACAGCATTAAACCGTAAAGTTTAACGATCTGCTGGGAGGCAGCAGGAGGCAAAAAGAAGCAACTTCCACCCAAAAGGTGGAGCAGAGAAAAACTGTTAGAGGGTCCAGCTGGGCAGATGTGGAGCATGTAAAAAGAGTTATTAATACGATTCATTTTCTACCCTACATTTAAGTTGTGTGAAGATCTGAGTTTGTTGGGAACAATTTCTCCAGAAATAAAGAAAAAGAAGAATCCTTCATCCCCAAGAGATTTTCTTTCAAAAGTGAAGCATTCCAGCTTTCACCATGATGCTTTACCTTATACCAATATAGAAAACTTTATCAGAAAATGCTTTGGTTGAATTAAAATGTAATGGACTTGGAGACAAAAAAAAACAGAAAAGAAAGAGTGGAGGAGAGAGAAGGACAGCAGGAAGTCTGCCTTTAAACCCGCAGAAAGAAACATCTTCATACGCAACAAAATCACTGGAAATACACACAAGATATGTTTAGTGGTAACATCATAATATCGGAATCTAAACACCTGTGTGTGTAAAATAAACAGAATGGTATGTTCTCTTATGTTTCCCAGTTTGAAGAGCGATGAGGCTCAGGAACACGTCGGCTTCTGCAGCAGGTTTAACACATTATCACATTAAATACTCAATCTGCTGATGAAGATGGGAGTTTAAATCTATTTCAGGTGGTCAGTGTGTGTGGTGTGTGTGTGTGTGGTGTGTGTGTGTGTGTGCTCTCCATTAGGTCCTCTGAAGTAACTGGGGTGTGAAACAGAGTTAAAGGATCGGTTCTGCTAATGCATCAATCAGAGTTAATGGCTTCGGCAGGCGGAACGTTTCCTTTCTTCTGACTGAATTTTTATTCCATTCTGCGAAAATTAAAACAATAAAACTTTAACACAAACACAACCAAAGCAACAAACAGGTGAGGGATGACTGAGAAAACCCATGAAGAAGAACGCTTCCCCATCAGAACCATCATGGCCGTCGTCTCTTTGCTGCTGCTGTTTTTTGACTTCGTTTATTTTTCCTGGTTATAACGTATTAGTAGGATTTCCTAAAACTGCTTGAATCAGGTTTGAATGCTTACCAGACAGTTTTTTTTCATAACTCGCCTCTTTCTGAAAAGTGAGACCTTTTGCTTGTGAATTTATTTTATTTATGGGAGGAATAAATCTTGCAGCAGCAGGAATCCTTTGAGAAACTCACTTCTGGCTTAAATATTTCATCACCACCTGATTTTTCTCGGGTTTCTTGAATTTCTCAAGCGAAGCAGTAATGTGAGAGTCTGCCTGGATCTCCTCGGTTTAATTAATAACTTTAGCGTTGCGATTTAAAGAACTCATCCATGTATAAAGCCGTCATGTCAGAATAATGTCTGCATTGAGGCTGAAACCTGAGTGTTGCTGCAGACAGTTTGGTGAAGCAGCGTGAATCCTGGATGTGTGTGTGTGTGTGTGTGTGTGTGTGTGTGAGATCTGGCAGATATTCCAGGTCATTTTCTATTTGTGGAAGTAGAACCAGCGCAGTCTGTCTAGACAGTCGGGCCGACCCGCTGCCTTCTCGTTGCTCCTGGTGGAAACTCAGGTTTTTGGCCCCCCGGCAGAAAGTCGCCTGTTTTACCAGAAACATGATGAAAGCAAATCCACTCAAAATGGAAACTTTTTTTTTTTTTTTTTACCAAAAACACAAAGATTCACAACGCAGAAGTCAGTCTCAGCTAAAATGATGGAAAGGATCACACAGAGTTGCCGTTTTTGATTCATTTATCATAATTTGTTCAAACAACGAAGCGCCAGCAGCCGATTCACCAAGCAGCCAGGTTCTGATCCGGTCCTGGAGAATAACACATCTTTTAAGGAGAACTTGGATAGAATTACAGTTTTAAAAAACTCCAGAGGAGAGTTTCTCAGGTTTTGGTGAAACAGGAAGTGAAGCAGTGATGCAGACATCAGACCTGAAGTCATTAACTGATGGGAAAAGCTGCATTAGCGCCTGGTTGGCTGCATCACTGTTCATCACTCCAGGAAAACGTCCTGCGGTCCGAAGCCAGAAAACGCTGCGTGACTTCAGGTCCGTCAGGCTGATGAACAAACTGTGGATGAACACGGATGAAACATTGGGTTGGTTCTGCAGAATGAGCTCAACATGATCCGATGCCAAAGCGGAAGTAAAACAGAAAACATGCAGAGTTATGAATTTAGGATTGAAAGTTTCAGCAAAACTTCATTTATTCTGAATGAATCACTTTCATTGTGTGACATGAATAAAACTATTTCAGTCCAAAGTGTTCAGAGAGCCTCTACTGCATATTTCAGTTTCTAGCGTTTTATGTTCTTCACAAAACATCTTCAAATGAGCAAAGATTCATGTTTGAATTTCCTGAAACAAAACGATGTTTTTTCTCCTGCTCTTCATGCTGCCAGCGTCGCCAGGATCTGCTCTGGTTGCCTCCCAGTTCTGTTGCAGCTTATTGTTCAAACTGGTGAAAAAGTTTCTGTCTAAAGAATCCCAACAGATTGCTGAAAGTCATGCACCACTCCTGCTGGACCAGCAGGGGGCGACAGCAGGAAATCACTTGCTCTGAGTCAACTGTTTAACAATCCTGCATCCCAAACATGCATGTGGCGACAGAAGAGAGGAAAAACTTCCCTTTAGCAGGAGGAAACCTCAGAACCTGCTTCAGGTCCAGCAGCTACAGAACAATCCCACATCACCATTCCTCCACCGCCATGCATCACAAGGTGTTTGTGCTGATACACTATGCGTGAGTCTTTCCAGGTGAGATATATATATATATTTTTTACAATATGTTCTTGCTAAAATCCAAGTTTCTGGTTGCAAATTGAATCTAAAGCCTCTCCCGGTGAGCGTGCCGGGACATCCGGCCCCTGGCTGTGAGTGTGATTCCCTCTCAGCTGCTCTGGCACGTTGCTCCTGGTGCAGCAGAAGCCGTTAATTATAGCAGGCAGTTCACAGCTTCGATAGCAGTGCCGCGGCGCTCCACGACATCCCAACTGTCAGCTTAATCACAGAGCAGGGCCACGACAGTGGCTGCGCCGCGCCACCGCGCCGCCATCGCCTCGTCCCACTCTGCTGAACATGACAGGACTCTGCAGCCACGTGGCCCAACCTGCTGCAGCAGCTCAGAGGGGAGAAACAGGCAAACCTCTGCAGATGGTTCACCCACAGTCACGCTCCTAACGCTAAACATTTCACTACTATTGCTGAGTGTTTGCTTCAATTTGATCTTCAGTTTGTTTTTGAACCTACCAAAGTTAAAAAACACGTCTGTGAAGAGTCCATTTTTTTTAACCAGGTTTTATTCCTCAACAAACACAAACTTGGTGACAAAGGGGAGGCGTTTGAAACTACAGCCAACAACCAGCAGCAGAAATGGGGATTCATTGTCCGGAGGCACTTTCATCATGTTATTGATTTATATATAAATGTTAGTTTCAAGCAAAATATTTAATTGATTAAATAAATCTCTAAATTAAATATTTAGTTAGCACCGATATTTAGTTTTACACTAATTATGATTTAACTGGCTATATTTTAAATATTTAGCTGACAAGTTAAATATTTAGTTGGCAGGTGAATGTTCTTGTTCGTGCCAAACGCAAATTTACTGGCCGATAACTGGAGGTGGACTACCAAAATAAAAGCGAAGTCGTCTGAAACATAACTTCTGCTTTCGAATCATTATCATCGTTTCTTTTCTTCTTGTGCAACAATTCAGCTTAAAGCGTTTTAAACATGTTTACAGATGGAGCAACACTGAAGGATTCTCTTTGGAAACGTAGAACATTTTCAACTTTTTTGTTTAAAAAAATCTAACTTTGTTAACATTTTAAATTCAGAAAATTCTAACCTTTTTTTCTATAAAAATTTGGAGAGTTTAAGTCTGTCGCTGCAGAAATGTACTGATTTTTTATACATGTATTTATACCAATGGCACCAACATGCAGTCGTATGTCAGTGATTGTCGATGGAGATGATTTTCAGGCCAAACTGTTTGTAGAAAGAAGAAATGGATCAATCTGAAGGACAGATCGGGAAGCAGGAATTTCTGCTGCTGATTTTACGGATCAAACCGGTGGAAGTGACTCCGACCCTCCACCTGCTAACCGCTGCAGGTGTTGGAGTGGTTCTCCCGGCAGCAGCAGCAGCAGCTGCAGCATCAAGTGCTTCTCTAAAGCCGCAGCTGCCACTTGAGCCTGAGATGCTGCAGAAATGAGCCGAGCGCCGTCAGACCTGGCTCTGCAGCGGTCGGCTCTGAGCCTCATTAACGGCCCGTTTCTGTCCGCGTTCATGTGAGACGTGATGACTTCCTGTCCTGCAGAGGCTGGAAAAAACGCCGCTCATTAACCGAGTTCTCCTCCAAACACACTCTCCACCCAACCCTCCTCAAAAACACACACAGATGGAGTCAGTCTCACTCTGACTGATCTGTGTTGATTGTTCAGTCGCTGTAAACACACGCTGGTGGATTTACGCTGCACACAGATGGGGAACTCAATATTTTAGAAATTTGTTGTGAGACTTTGTTGTTTCTTTCCCTGCATAAATACAGTGAGTGGAAATTTATTCAGCTGAGTGGAAATGATATTTTCTCACTAAATGAAGCCATTCATCGCTCCGTCCCTCAATCTAACCTGAAGAACTGTTGCATTATTCAGTTTCAGTTCATTTATATTGACCCAAATCCTAACAAAACCACTTCACTATCATTGACATTCAATTACATACAGTTCATTCCTGTGTAAGTTAGTACACAATACAATTACAGTCCATCATTATTGATGAATTATGCTGAAAAATATATTTCCATGTGGCATTGAGTGTCTTCAGTCAGAGGTTTCTTCAGACTGGCTGGAATACAGACTGCTACAGGAGACCCAAAACATACTATTAGTAATTTGTGACCAAATGGTTTAATTGTTGTCTTGTCTGAACATAAAATATCTCCAAAAGACTGAGAAGAATCCTTTCAGACTAAGGTCCTGGTAAATCAGGGGAGTTCAAAGTATGGTTCTGGGGCCATTTGTGGCTCATCCAGCTCAAAGGTTGTTTATGAAGATTTTATTTTTAACCAACGCAAAATTATTACCAACATTATTTTCTCAGAATGGAAAAAGCTTCTGCCTTTTCATGAAGCCAGAGAAGAAAACCAAAAGAAGAAACAGAGAAAGCCAACGAATTTATGCTGCAGAGCAAGGAGATCAAAGTTTAACACAACTGACAAGAAACACATAAATCTACATTTAGCTCACTTTGTCTTTACCTTCAGTTCTGATCAATATGTCGTTATTCATTCAGGCCCAGCTTTGTAACTGTCGGCAGTAGAGAGGCTCCTCGGGTCAATACCTCCACCGGCTGCTTTATTTCAGCCGTTCCTCACACTGAAAAGAGCAAAAGACAAAAACACCAGAGGCAAAAAGATATGACAAAATGTTTTGTTACAGTTTCCCAAAATTAGCAGAATATCAGAGAAACTGTTATCAATTTCTCATAATGTGAAGGAAAAATGCATTTCTCTCAGAATAAAGCAGATAGATTGATGTCGATTAAAAATTTAGTTATGAACTTACAGAACATCAGACTTAACTTACAATTTGTTTTGATTTCGTTAGCTACTGCTAATGTTAGCAGCTCCTACTACTAATGTTAGCTCCTGCTAACGGCATTACTTCCTGCTACTGATTTTAGCTACTGTTACTAATGTCATCCATCCTCCCTCAGCATGCTCTCCTTCATCTTTTCATCCCTGCGTCTTACAACCTCACTCTGACTTGATCAAGAGTGTCGACTGTTTGCAGCCTTTTGCTTTTCACACCAGTGAGAGAAACAGGAAATAAATATTTCAGCTTTGCAGCAAACACAGCTGAGGACTTTCAGTATCTTGGCCTCCAAAATTAAACTCTGCTGAGACGGTTCTGCTCTCTTGAAGCAAAACTTTTTCTCACAGGGACAGATTCACAAGGAAGAGGACGTCTCCTGGTGCGTCCAGCCCTTCAAGTCTTTTTACCAGAAACTGATTCAGCACACCTCCTTCTAAGGAGCTGCTGGTTTTTCCCACTTAGCCATTGTTGGATAAATATACTGGATGTTTAAAGGGTTTGTTAAATCAAGCAGTAATGAAAATAACATAAAAAATCCAAATGAGACAAGAGATTAGAACAAATGTTGGCACACTGAACATTTGAGGATGAAAAGGAAGAAAACGCTTGGTTAAAAGAAAACACTCCCTCTTGCAGTTTTACATGTCAGGTCCAGATTCTAGATTTGCTAACTATAAATGTTTCCACATTGTCTTTATTTATCAGACAGAGAAGCCAAAAAGCAAAAGGTGAGAGAACGAGCGGTCTCCGGTCCACTTGGTATTCACATGTGCATTCAACCCGAACCAGAGTTCACTTCAACAGAACCCAGAGCCAGGTTCAGAGGTCCAGAGTTAGGCTGGCTTTCACACCTCACCAAACAACCGGACTTTCTAAACAAACGGACTGGAGCCGGATTAAAGCGGATTAAACGTGACTGGTGTGAAGTGTCCTTAACTCCAAAGTGGGGAACCAGTGGGTTTAATTCAGTTTTCTGTGATTCCCGGCGATGTTACAGACGATTAACACGGCAGCTCAGAGCCAAACATGAAGTATCAGCAGCCAGAGGGCCGGGGAGCGGAGAGCAGCAGATTACCAGGGAGCGCTGGAGGAGCGAGGAGGCAGGACGAGAGGCACGGATAAAAAACAGAACGTATGGATGAGTCATCTCCCCAGCCAGCCAGCCAGGCAGGCAGGCAGGCAGGCAGCCTCTCAGATACCATGCCAGCACCCTCGGATGTTTGCTGCAGACTCAGATCGCTGCGTTGCTGTGGAGCGGGATCTCTCTGACATGCATCCGTCTGCAGAGAACGCTCCAACATCTTTAATCGTCTGCAGAGAAACTCACAAAGCTGCAGCAGAAACCCACTTTCTGCTTCTTCTCAAGACTTCAGCTCTCATCTGGTGATGCAACATACAAGACAGGGATTAACTGGGGACATATTTCAGCTGCCCAAACAAGCATCCTGCTCAGCTGAGTCACAGCAGCGTGTCATAATGATGGAAATTTGGGGCATGTTCTCATGGAAATAGATTTTTTTCTTCTCCCTGAACTCAGCATGTAGCTTCAACTCTGAGATCATGTCTCTAAATTGGAAAAGGGATTATATTCCCATTCCCGAATGGAAGTGACCTGAAGTTTAAGAACCTCAGGGCGTCGAATGAATTCATGACTGGAAGTAGAGCTGAGATAGACAGACGAGTCTGCAGTGATGTGAGCCGAGCGGCTTAACTACACGTTTTGGGTTTGCTTCATATTTCTGTAACTTATCGGGGAAAAGACAATAAATTATCTATCTCAACAAATGGTTCATATAAGAATCATATTCTCATTTATACAACAGTGCATGAGTCATTTAATTTCCCTTTGGAAAAACAGTGGAAATTATTTGAATAATCACAAATTTGCTTAAAAATATCAGAAATGTTCAAGAAAAAGTCAGAAATGTCCAAAAGTTCAAATTTTCTACTTTTCAAATTCAGATTTTTGTTTTTAAATATCTGAGCTTAATCTCAAATTTCTGAGTTTTTTCTAGTAACCTTTCAACTGATGAATGTTCTTACTTTCTAGAAACTATGAACCGATTTCTGAGTTTTTTGGTGGAAATTTACTCCTCTGCCTACAATGGCCTTAATGCGCTGTATTACATTTGCTGCTTTGATTCAGAATCGATTTTAAAAACAAACAAACAATAAAATAAATCCGCTGGTTGTCGCCATGGAGACGGTAGTGGGAATTTACGCATGCGCGGGAAGCACCAGCACTAACAGCAAGCTAGCCGCACAAACGAAAGACAGATTCAACCGCCCTTCTTCGTCCAAGAAACATTTGGACTCATTTGGTTTTTCTCACCGAATTCCCGGGAAGACCGAGCTGGACATGAGCTTCACCGAGTATAAGGTCCGCGAAATGAAGGCAGAACTTCGGGAACACCGGAGATGCGTGGGGCTGAGCTAGCTACCGCCGAGCTAGCTACCGCCGAGCCACGGTAGGCCATCACTTCCGGTCCGGAGCTCTGAGAGGCGTGTTGTGATTGGTCAAACGTTTGTGGCCTGTTTATGCAGAAATACTCAAACAGTAAAGTTACCAAACAGAGAATAACACCAAGAAAATGTGACTTTTCAATGAATAACCTCAAACATTTAATTTATCACTGAGCACCTTTACAAACGTGACCCGCATTCCTCAGTCTGTCAGAAATGATCAGACTAATTCAGATTTCTCTCCTCTAAAACAAATTAATTTGTCAAAAGCCAATCAGCACAGATTTATTTTTCTGTTTTAATCAAAAACATGCAGGAAACGTCCATCAGTTTCTGACCAGCAGATCAGAGGATGAGTTCCTGCATATTTCTAGTTTTTCTGGTCTTCCTGAAAACTTTGGAAAGTTTTAAATTGAAGCTCGTAACTTTTGGGTCGATGTTCACATCAAGCATCAGAACCCATCTGCCTTCTCTACGAGTGTCCTCATGTGATCCCTGCTGCAGTAAAACTTTCCATTTTCCTCCCTCTGCTGCCATATTTCCTTTTCTGTCGTCTGAAGCAACATTTTCTCTTTATCTGCGGCCGCCCGCCGCGAAGGTCATTTGCCACCTCATTTGTCAGGAGTCTGCCTACGTTTCACACCTCACTACTTACAATTTTCCTCCTGCATAATGATTTGTTCTGTTATTTATGTTTGTTTGTTCAAACTGCGTCCGACTTGTGCGAGTAATAACTTTATCTTCTCCTCCGGCGAATGTTTCTGGACCATTTCTCCATCTGAAGATAAAGTCCTGAATGTAAAACAGAACAGTTACGTTAGAGAACCAGAAACTTAATTAAATGGTGATCAGATCCTTATATGTTCTACTTGGGCAGAATAATTCATCGCATTATATCCAACCTGCTGCCAAGGCTGAGTAAGCTTTGCACTGGAGGCAACATGAAACGGTCACAGAATATTAACTCTAAAGAAAAGAATCACTTTGCTTAAAAACAGTCAGAACATTTCTGCTGAAGGAAAAGTTTTAACTGCAGCAAAGAGACTTTCTGTTGGGAATGAAAAATGGTGTCATTCATGCTGAACCCAATCTGCAGGACTCTAAAGTCAAAATTTCAAAAAGGTATTCACATATTTATAAGTGGCACAGTCACAGACTGAATATTTAATTCATAAACTGAACATTTACTTGGTAAATTATATATTTAATTAGGAAAATCCAAATTAAGGATTCATTTTCCAAACTTAATGTTTAGTTTGGAACTAAATATTTATCTGCCTAACTAAATATATAATATTCAAGCTTAATATTTTGCTTCCTACTTAAATGTTTAGTTTAAAATTATGACATTAATAAATGTCAGAATAACACCATGTCAAAATAACAGAAAAATGGATCCCAGTATTTTTTTCTTGTCAGACTAAAAAATGTAAAACGTTGCTGTTAATGATTTTCAGTGTAACTTAGTTTCTTCTTCTCATCTCTGTGGCTCTAATATCAGGAGTAAACAGATTTTTTGACGTGTTACGTTTTTAACACTAAAGTTAAAGAAATGAATGTTGAAAACATTTGAAGTCACGACTGCCTGAAGCTGCATGATTCACCTGATCTCCACTTGCTTTAATGTTTCAGTTTTTAGATCTGAACAAGCTTGTAAGTGCGTGTGTGTGTGTGTGTGTGTGTGTGTGTGTGTGTGTGTGTGTGTGTGTGTGTGTGTGTGTGTGTGTGTGTGTGTGTGTGTGTGTGTGTGTGTGTACCAAATGTTTCCACCTTAGCTGCGCTGATCCTCCTGCAATTTAAACAAAGTGTTGACCTGCTGGCCATCTGCCAGAACTTAATGCTCACTTAATGCTCAGCCACCACTCTGCAGGCAAATAAAGGTTAATAATCACACAGAAACGCTCCTCAGGAAGCGGCGAGCTGAACACCGCCTCACCAGGCCTTCAGGTGGAGATGAATCACAGTGAGGAAAGGCTCTTCATTCCCTGCAGATTCAGAGCCGACCTGAGCGTCCTCGTTGACGTTACGGCGGCTGGTCGGCTCACGTCTGAGCTGCAACCGTTTGTCTTTTAATGTTTATAACTTATTCATATCGCCTGACTCACCACTGCTTTTCAGGACACATCTTCTAGCCTAAGAATCATTTGGCAAAATGCTAGAGGAATAAATTACATAAATAATATATGAAAAATTAGAAAGAAACACTTTTGCACAGGTTGTCTTGAGAAAGATGAACCAAGTGGGAATTTTCTTCCCATTTGGTGTAAAAACTTTTCTTTCCACAGAATCACTAGGCAGCATAACAATTGAATACCTTTGAACATCACTTATGATGGCAGTTTCATTTTTAAGAGACAGAGAAAACGAAACAAACGCCACAAACAAATGAAATAAAAGTAGTAAAAGATTATTCTTGGACAGATGGAAAATAAAGAGACGTCGACATTTACAGCTATGAAAACTCAGAAAATTGATGAATATTTGTGAAGCATGTTGAAGGAATGATGTTTATAAAAGCCCATAAATACAGCAGATCAATCCATTCGGTTTCAGTTTCACAGATATTTCCGGAATCTTACTCCGAATTGTTTCCGAATCACCCGTCTGTTTGATAATTGATTATTTCATACATCATATGATATTGGAAACAGAAGCCGTTTGGGGAAGCTGAAATACCGACTGGTGTGCAAATGAGCCAATCCAGGAGCACCATTCATTTCCCTTTTTGCTGATTGGCTGAACCTCAAGAGTGGCAATAAGGAAGACTGTTAGCTTCTGTGCTAATGCTAAGACGGCTTCCACAGACCGTATTCATAAGTAAGACATATTTTGATGTATTAAAATTAGCAGCTGTAAGTGGACATTTACTCACAAAATCTGCTGTGGTCAGAGGAGATTAAAACATTTTAACAAACCTTAAAACAATTGATGTTTCAATTTGATGTCATATTAATAAACAGTTTTTTTTTTCAGATTCAAGAACCTCCAAGGAAATAAAAGTTTCGGTCGGTTTTCTCTGTCTGACATTAAAACCTGTCAAGATCCCAGACCTGAACGTCTCTAATTGGTCTCTCTCACCTGCAGGTGTTTCATCAGTCAAGTAATGAGTTAATTAGTGTCTGAGTCATTTCTGCCTCATAACGAGCGTGCTGCGTTTCACTTGAAGACCTCCGGATGAATCACGGCCGATCGCAGAGCAGTTCTTTGTGTTGTTACTCACGCTCGGCGGCGCTGCTCCAGATGACTTCATCGGTACAGTCTGTTCCTCTGCTGATTGGCCCAACCAGGCTCGGCTTCACTCACGGCCTCGGACTGGGCTGAACGGTCTGCAGGGATCCGGTTCTGAATGACCCACAGAACCGCTCTGCTTCACCAGCAGGAGTTTCATTCACTGGAGCCGACATCAGACCTGCTGATCGCTGAGCTTTATGATTTAAGAAATGAATACACTAGATATCATAGCATGATCACTAAAATATAAAGAAATCAACTTCAATCAGTCGATCAGATTTATTTATGTAGCACATTTCAGCAGCAGGGCAGGTCAAAGTGCTTCACATTATAAAGACACAAAAAGACAAAATTATTTTAAAAAAACACCAAACATTTATGAAATCATTCCACATCAAAGTGTTTCATTTATTATGGTTCAAACGTAGCTCTGACTGACTCAGTGTTTCAGCTGGTTTTCAGTTTTCTAGGAGTTAGTTCCAGATTTGTGGTGCATAGAAGCTGAATGCTGCTTCTTGGATGACGCGTTTGGTTCTGGTTCTGGTTCTGGATGCAGAACAGACTGGAGACCAACTTTTCAATAATTTGCTCTGATTTTAGTTGGCCAGGAGTTTTTATCTCTGTGATTTTAGCAGCAGGTTCCTCCACAGCTGGCTGCTGCGGCTTCTTTGGTCTTTTTATTCTCAGAACTTTTCCATTTTCTGCTTTGATAATCCAGTCAGAAACATGAACATGGAAAATTATAATTCAATAAGTTATTCTCGAATAGAGTCTTTTAATTGTCACAATGTGGAAAATTCAAAAGCATGAACCTGAAAGTGTTAATTTTCTGTATAAGAAAATTTTGTGAAGTTGTCATTAATAGTATTCGATTTTAAAAGATGTGCAAGAGAGTAGAAAGATTTTGTTAGAAACTTATTTCATTATTATGAATTAAAAACAGATTAGATTAAAGAATATAGTTAAAAATATATTCAAAAATGTATTAGATTACATTTTTTATCTTTATATATATATATATTTGTTTTTTTTTGTCATCTTCCATCCAATTTTTTGAGGCCCTTACTTTGAAAATAACTAACTTAATTGGCTTTAGCTTCCTGTTTCTGATTGGATGACTGATGGATGAGAGGAAATTGAGATATCAAATCAGATGGAAGAGGAAACGGTCAGATGATGGAAATGAGTGAAAAAGCCTCCAAATTACAAAGAAAAAACTGAAAACCGTTGATCTGGATGACTGATGAAATAATGATTAGCAGCTTGGAGTCACAACGGACCTATGAGTCATAATTACATTGAAAAATGTGGAAATGACTTAAAAGCAAGAAGGACAAATCCCAGCGTTTCAGGGCCCCAGCGGTTCAGGGCCCCAGTGGTTCAGGGACCCGGTTTGTTGTTGGTCCCTCTGCTTTCCCTCCTGGTTAAAGCAGTGTCTCCTGCTGCGTCTCCTGCTGCGTCTCCGGCTGCGTCACCTATTTGCTCGTCTGTCATGTCGTCACTGAAACCCTGAATTACGACGGGCTGGAATTGATGAGCTGTCACCTGTGACCCCGCCGGGCTTTTAGCAGGTTGGCATGCTGAAATTAGCGGGTCCGTCCACACCGAAAGGCAAACGGCTTCATTTCTGAGGGAGCTGTGACATTTTCAAGAAGGAGTCGCTCAGACTGATCTACTTCCAGTAATGCTGCTTTAATGTGACTGTGGCAAAATGAATGAGGGAGCTGAGGATACTTTAGAGCAGCAGAGGAATTCAGGCTAAACCATCACTGCAGATTCTTCCAACAGTTATTGAAGATAACTGGTGGCTGTTGGCAGGAAAGATCTGCTGTAGCAGTCTGTACTGCAGTGAATCTGAAGAAGCCTCTGACTGAAGTTGCTGTTTTCTCTAGATAGGGTTGTCCATACATTTCTTGATTTTATGAAGATGAAGAATTGCGTCATCATCTCCAGAGGGTCCACAGTCGTCACCAGAACAGAAGCAGAACCAGAACAGAACCAGCCTCTTTATGTTTATTTTGAGAGAACACAATAAAAAGCATTCGGCATCGTAGATGTTTCCTCACGTCTTCCTCTGAAAGTATTTTAATAAACTCATCTGAAAAAGCATCCAGAAATGGGTCTCAACAGAAAAAGGACCCGACATTAAGCTCTGAACATATCCGAAACATTTCACACATGAAGGACAAACTACATTTATTAACTACGTCACTGTCATTTAAAAGCTATATTCATGAACATTAGTCATTTTCACACCAATGCTAATGCTAGTGCTAATATAGCATTAGCATTAGCTGCCTTTCTGTTGCCTTTGTTTCCTCCAACCGCCTCTAGTTCCTGCAACAGCCAAACAGGAAGCAGCTGCCGATGTTGGTCTTCAAAATAAATTACATTTACATTTATGGTCAATACAAGTGTAAATATACATATCCTGTCATATAAAACAGCTCAAACCTGTAACCTTGATGCATAGGTTATTTCAGGATTTTGTTCATTTATTACATGTTAATTAACACGTCTCTTATTGCAGACCTCGAATGGCTTTATCCAGCATTCTGTTATTCGTACATTAATGCAGGTTTTTATTGAAACTTTCTGCTGAAAGCGTTTTTGTGGGTTTTCCCTCCCATCAGTCACACCGGAGGGGAAATGTTGAAAAGCATCTTTCTGGATTTCTGTAACTCTGTTCCCTGGAATCAGCAGAAGGAAGAGCTACAGTAGAGACAGGGTGGAGGTAAAAATAGACTGAATAGCAATGAGGCGGCTTTTCCTTCTGCCTGGAGCCGTGCAGGCGTGGGGAGGAACTGGAGGTTCAGGAGGGAGTCGTTTCACCCTGTCTAATCCGGCGAGCTCTGACCGCCTCGGCTCAGAGTCTCATGCATGAGGAAAAGAGCAGGAGGATGATGGAGCCTCATTGGAGAACGTCTCACCTCCATTTTGGCGTCTTGATGAATGAATGGTCTTTAACCGGCGGCAGAGCTGGGAGAACAGATCTGCAGGGCATGATTGTAAAATCATCTCTGGGGAGTTTTTACGGGTGATTGATTCAGAGTTTACCGCTGGTGATTAACATGCAAGCGCCACGATTAGACTCTCTTTATCACTCTGGGCTTTACTTACAGTTTGGATGATTTCAGCCAGCAGCAAAAAATTACATGTCAAATCAGAAAGAGCAAAGATCAAAAGACGGTTGAGTGAAAACATGTTCACTAAAACTGATGTACGAACTGTAATCTGACCGTCTGTTGACTTTATACAGATATTAATGTTTTGTTTATGTAACTTGTGTTTGAAGTTCTGCTTGTTTGATGATGTGCAGCACATTTCAATCTGCAGGAACCCACTGCCACCAGCTGCCCAAAGGTCACAGCAGAGACAACCTCAGTCATTTTAACACACTGCAGAAATCTGAAGGGATGGGCAGAAGAAAGATTTTGTTTTGAGAAAAACCATTAGGAGTTCAGAGGCGACAGCAACACCAGAAAGAAGTTTAGATCTTCATACCAAACTCAACTGGTTTGGTTTGGAAACCAAATGAAAACCTGGAAAACATGAAGGCGGAATAAAAGCTGGAATACCTGAGAGGGGAGGGGCATTTGGGATGAGCTTTCTGGGGTACCAAACAAAAACGGTTCTGATCGCTGATTGAAACCGACCCGCTGGGAAACCTCCCGAACCTCCCTATGGACTGGCCGACCTGCCCGGTTCGGGTCCAGGAACCCGCCCGGTTCGGGTCCAGGAACAGGGCGGGATGACCGACCCACCACGTTCCTGGAGCGACTTTTTAAAAATAAAAGACTTAAAATAAAGTGGAGCTTAAATAAAAATGCTTTGTGTTGTACCGACAGTTTCCATTTAAGACATTTAAAAAGTTTATATCTGCATCAGCTCCATTTGTACCATCATTGATCTGTCGGGGGACACATCATTTTATTCCAAATGTATTAATGTCAGAATGGCCTAGTCAAAGACCCTGCCTGTTATGTTCAAACTGTAACATCGCGTTGGGAGAAACAGAAGATCCCCGTTAGTGGTCATAATGTTATGCCAGGTTGCCGTAAGTAGAGTCAAGCTTCCAGCATTTCAGCTAAAATCCCAAGGAAATCCGTGGGAACGGATCCAGAATGTAGGCTGGCTGCCTGATCCAAAAGTGACCCAGATACGGAAGGAGGCGCGAAGCGGTGGAGAGGAGAGTTAGCAGACAAAGGATGAGCGGAGGCGCGTGGGATGACACCGTGGGTTATGCGGGAGGAGAGAGCGCAGACACACGGAGGGTGACGTCAAACCCGAGCGGAGCGGAGCTGACCAGCCGCCGCTCTCTGCGCCTCTGCACGCGGCCGGCGCGGCTCTGAAACACCGCGGAGGAGGAGGAGGAGGAACCGCGGAGGTCTGACAGGGGAGACCGGAGGAAGAGGAGGAGGAGGAAGATCAGCCTGGGCTCGCGCTGCACGGAGACGCATCGTGCGCGTTGTTTATTTACCGGGTTGGCGCGCGGCTGCTCGCCTCGCGCTGTCAGACAGGTGTTCCCAGCGCGCGGGATGAGCTTTGATCCTGAAGGTGGAGGCTCGCGCGCAGCAACAAGTTTCAGGTTCTGAATTTCCTCTGGATTCATAAACGGAATTTATGGAGTTCTTGTTCTGCTTTTCTTTATTCCTCCGCGCCTGGTGATTCTTTTGGGAATCTTTCAAAGAAAACAGGGAATTCCTGCAGCGTCTTAATCCCGCTCTGGTTCTGGTTCTGGTTCGGTTGGACCCGGATCCTCCGACCCGCTTCCAAACAGAGTCTCTTTCTGATCCACGGTCCCGGCTCTGCGTGGCTGCGTGGCGCCGCGACCCCCTGATGGTGCCCGCGGTCCGGTCACAGTGGCTCGAGCTGCGTTCGCTGCTCGGACGCGCCACGCGGTGATTTTCCCACGCGGGGATCATGATGGCTGGTCCGACAGAGGCGGGATCGGTTCGAAAGGTTCTGTAAGGGATCCGCAATGACTTCCAGCCGCGCTTTGCCCCGCGCCGTTCCCACCCCAACCCGAAAAAAAGCACGCGCCCTCGGTTCGATGCGCACGAGAACGTCGTGTCCCCAAACCGCTGATCCGACTGAGAGTCCGGAGGAGCAGGAGGAGAGGAGACTGAGACAGGCGATCGGAGCTGAGAGGCGGTGATGGGAGCTGTCGGAGGTGCGCTGCTCCAGCGCGAGCGAGGAGCTGTACACCATCAACAAGACGCCGAGCAGCAGCGGCAGCGGCAGCGGCAGCGCGCGGCCCAAGCGGCTGCTGTGGCAGAACGCGGTGCGGCACATCACCGAGCAGCGCTTCATCCACGAGCAGGGCGGCGGCGGCGGCGGCGGCGGGGGGACGAAAGACGACCCCTTCGACCCGATCCAGGGCGCGCGGAGCAGTCCGCGGGCCGGACGTCGGTGGGGGACCGGCACAACAACGGCGGGACCAAGGTGTTCCCCGAGCGCGCGAGCAGCGACCTGGTTTCCTGCAGATCGACTGCGCGCCCAGCAACTCGGACTTCTTCCTGAACTGGGGCTACACGTACCGGGGCGTGATTTTCCCCACGCTGCGGAACGCCTTCAAGTCGCGCGACCTGGAGCGGCTCTACCAGCGCTACTTCCTGGGCCAGCGGCGGAAGTCCGTGGTGGTGATGAACATCCTGGACGTGGTGACCAAGCTCACCCTGCTGGTGCTGCACCTCACAATGGCCTCCACCCCCATGGACCCCATCAAGGGCACGCTGCTGGGCTTCTTCACCGGCATAGAGGTGGTCATTTTGTGCCTTAGTGGTGGTGCGGAAGGACACCACCTCGCACAGCTACCTGCAGTACAGCGGCGTGGTCACCTGGGTGGCCATGGCCACGCAGATCCTGGCGGCCGGCCTGGGCTACGGGCTGCTGGGGACGGCGTGGGCTACGTCCTGTTCACGCTGTTCGCCACCTACAGCATGCTGCCGCTGCCGCTCACCTGGGCCATCCTGGCCGGCCTCTTCACCTCCGGGCTGCACATCCTGGTCCAGCTGCTCATCTCGGAGAGCGCGCGCTTCTTCACCAACCAGGTGAGTCCTCAGCGCCTCACCTGGCGCCTCCTTCATTCGCTGCTGCTTCAGGTTCAGAAACTTTGATTTGCAGTTCCTGAATTTGGCCGTGGAGCAGCAGAGCGGGAATCTGCTGTCTGTTTGTCCTAATCACATGTGGCAGTTTGTTTGTCTGCAGTTTTTCCGGCTGCTGAGCTTTCAGCACCGGGAACTGTTCACCCCCCGCTGTCAGAGGAGCAGCTCCCCCTGCTGGCCAGACCTGGTTTCTTCTCAGCTGCTCAATTCGCAACATTAGCTTAAATCTCATTTAAAAACCTTTTATTAACTGTATTCAGTGGAAATTGGATCGGACCAGAATGTACTAGAGACAGACACACATTAGCAAATGAATGAATCTTGATTTGCATGAAGCTGCAGCTGAAGGGCTGATGGTGGAGCATCAGTTTGTTGTTTTCTGATCGAATCTGTTGACTCAGGCAGAACATTGGCTGCTTTATGGAAGCTGAGTGGGTTTGTCTTCACTCAGAACCGCCAGTTTAAAGGACGGCGTTTCCATCCCTTAAACTGATCATCACCAGCTGAGTGAGTCATTATGAAGTGAAATCTCTGAAGTATTTAAATTCAGCCCAGACTTTGTAGAGCCCATGTTTTCATTAGTAGGAAGCGTTCCGGCTTCCTGGAACGCAGAATGTCTGTAAACTTTCAGTTCACCACAGATTCTCAACTCAACTAAAGTCTGAACTTTGGCTAGGCCGTTCTGACACAGTAAGCCTTGATCTGAACCGTTCTGTGTTTTGGATCATTGTCCTGCTGAACCTGCTCATGTTTCCTTAAACTTCCCCACAGCATCATGCTGCCACCGCCCTGTTTTTCTTCTCATAGTGTTTTGCAGTGAAAAGGTTTCATTTTGCACGTTTGCTGCACATTTTGATTCGTTAATTAACAGATTTTAACGGTTAAAACATAAAATGATCTGATTGGATGCTGGAAAATAGTATTGTTGGGCACAAAGTTGTGCTAGAAGAAGTTAGCCTTAGGGAAGCTATGCTAGCCCATAATAGCATCTGAGTGCTATACATGTTGCAGCTAACGCTAACGTCAGCGTCCATATTTGTACAGAAGCTCCATGAATGACCAGAACTTCCTGAAACTCTAGATAGAAAAACATTTTGCTCCAATCTGATGATTTAATAATGTAAATAAGATTAAAAACTTGAAATAACTTTGTTGTTGAGTTTTGTTTAGGTATTTAATAAATTAGTGGCAAAGTGTTTCTCATTTTGGTTATAAATGGTTTTTAGTTAAAATGCAAATAATTACAATTAATTAATGACTTGATTTAAAGTTTAATGTAGACAGAAATCTCTGACGGTAAATGAAGCGCCACTTTGTGTTGGTCTGTCATAAAATCCACACAAACGCTTTGAGGTTTGTTGTAAAAGGTGGAAAAGTTTAGGAGATGCGAGTACTTCTGAACTTTTGACTGGATTGCAGTGGTGAATGAAAACTGTTTTATAAATGATTCTCCTAAAAATATGAAATGCTAAAAGCTATGTTGCGTCTCCTGTTAGTTGTTTGAACTCTTCTATGCATCCATCAAGCAGGCAGTGGGATTGTTTTGACGGCAGAGAAACCATCAACTCGGAGCTTCCTGACGCTCTGAAATGAAGCGAAGGAATAAAGATTTTCATGATTGTTGCAGCATCAGTGGACTGGAGGCTTTTTCTCAGCTGGGTTTGGATTTTCACTCTTACAGGTGAAAATCGCAGCAGAAAAACCTGCTAGAGGTGCCTGACAGCGCGGCTGTGATTCAGTCAGCCACACTGATCGTTCATCTTTAGAAACTTTGCTCTTTTTTAACACCTTGGACTCACAAACTCAGCTTGCAGTTTTTAGTAAGTTTGGCATCTTCTGCAGATCAATTAGTGGATAGCGTTCTTGGAGAAGCTGTTAGCTGGTCCAGTGCAAGTCTCAGCTTTCCCTTCCCCGTTAGGACACGCTGATAACAGCAGCATTCATTCTGCCTAATATCTCAGCTGGAGTTATGTCTGCTGTGGAATTGGTTTTTGCCTTTTGCAGCTTGATAACACCGGCTGATTCCTCCTCTTATTGTCGAGAAGAATCTGCAACCAATCAGTCTGTGTGGACCCAAATGTTCTCTCTCTCTTGAGATTAACCGCGCTCTCTCCAGGAGCGGTCGCAAAATGGGTCTAAATTTAATCTGGAGGCCTGATGGATCAGACATCAGTATAAACAGAGACAAAAGCAGCTTGAAACACGACCCACGATGCCGAGAATACCAAAATCAATGCCGGGATTCTGCAGTAACTCATATAGAGGGTCTTAAAGGCTCTGAGGCCCTGGTGGGAGGGTCAGCTGTTTGCTTCATAAAACACAGACCAAACTTTCTGCATGAGCTGCGACGTATTTAATGTGCAATTCAGCAGAAAAACAAAGAATAAGAAAGGATGGTACCATTTGGACTCACTGGATCGTAGATCATCATCCACAAAGTTCAGGAGTTTTTGGTCAGACCTGGATGTTTTCTTTGGACCAAAAATCCCAATTTTTACTGTAAAAACCTTTCAAATGTGTTTAAAGACATAAAAATATGTTTCCTCACCCATCAGGTCATGTTTCATATCACCCTTTACCAACTGAATTTCAGGAGTTTTGAGCCTTTTAACCAGTTATTGCAATAAAATGTTTCCCATTTTAATGACGTGGATGAATTTTTAAACTTTGGTCATAATATTTATTAAACATTAAAGTAACAATATGTGGCAAAATCAGAAACCGAGGACTTTGTTGTTTGACAGTTTCACACCGGTGAGACAGTGACAGTCGTCTTAATGGTTAGCATTAGCTTGTGCTCGTTTTTATATCTGTTTAGTGGTTATAACTTCTGTAATGTTTTTTAGCGGTTTGGCGTTAGCTTCTGCTAATTTAGTGCAGATTCTTGTTCATTGGTGAACGTTTTGGATTGTTGCGCTCACCACTGGCAGTTATCACCGTCGATTTTAAAAGACAAAATAAGTAGTGAACATCTATTGTGAGGTTTTTGTGACGGCACTATTAGTTCTGTGCTGCAGATTTACTGACAGAAAGTAACGATCATATTTCAGCTTTGAACCTTAAATTGCTTTAATTATGTTTATTTTAGAGAAAGTGTTAGGAGAGCCAATGGTTTCTTCTTAATGTGGAATTTTAATCACCTCTGTTCTCAAACTGCAGGTTGGATTTTTCGGAAACTTCCAGTATTAGATTACACTACAAAGATAAAACATAGATATGAAGTTTTACATCAGGTCAGACGTGTTTATCTTAGTCAAATGATAAATTCATTCGTAATCTTTTTATTTGCAGCAGAACCAGTACAAAAAAAAAAAACGTGTCAGTTTGCAGCCAGGATTTATTTTCAGCTCCTGTGTTGACGCAACTCACAGGCATCAGGGGAACTCCAGGAATACCTGACAGATTTCTGCTGGCTTCCTCACGATGCCGCCCACAGGAAGACTCACTGAGCATGCTCAGTGCAGCCGGGGGCGCTGCAGCGCTGCAGCTTCACGAGCAGGGCGGCTGAAGCCTCAGACTGCTGCAGCCTCAGACTGCTGCAGCCTCAGACTGCTGCAGCACTGCTCACACAACAAACAGTCAAATCTCTGACTCCTACTGGAACTCAGGTTTCAGTACCTTAATGGAGAAATGTACCTTTAGCAGTAAAAACCTCTAATTATCTCTTCATCACGGCTTAATGGAGAGAAAAATGTAAAAAGTTTGAGCATGTCTGCGTTGAGTGGGAACATCTGAAAACTAAACCAAACTAAAGCAAACACTGCGGCAGAGAAGCTTTTCCTTCTTTCTGCCTGAACATTAAACATTTACAGAGAAAACTCTGGAGTTTTTGATGGAAACTTTGCAGCTTCTCTTGACATTTGTGGAATTTGTGTGTCAGAAAAAGTTGACCAAAGTAGAAAAAATGATAAAGCGTGATAGAAAATCTAAATGATCATCATTATTATTTGTTTACAGTAAGTGTTGCAGGCTTTTTGAACCACAGGAGGAGAAACAAGTGGAAGAAGAAGGAAGTTTAACTGAGATGTTAAATGAAGATGATTGCAAACATGTAATTGAGAGTCGATCGGTAAAGGTCTCCTTTCCAGGCTTGAGTTTGTCATGGCTGACAGATCTCTGCCTGCTGATATGATAATTAGTCATGTTCTGCATAAGTTGCTGATCTGTGGGAGCGCTGGGTGATTAGAGCATTCATTAGCATCCAGCTGTGCTGAGATACATCTTTGCTTGTGTTTCCTCTAACCTGCTGTTAGCGCTGCAGGGGGAGCATGCTTTTCCTTCAGCCCACCTGAAGACTCTCACCTGTTCACCTGTTTACCTGTTCACCCAGACTCTGGCTGCAGTGGGACAGGAGTGGCTGCAGTGGGACAGGTGTAGCTGCAGTGGGACAGGTGTGGCTGCAGTGGGACAGGAGTGGCTGCAGTGGGACAGGTGTGGCTGCAGTGGGACAGGTGTGGCTGCAGTGGGACAGGTGTAGCTGCAGTGGGACAGGTGTAGCTGCAGTGGGACAGGTGTGGCTGCAGTGGGACAGGTGTGGCTGCAGTGGGACAGGTGTGGCTGCAGTGGGACAGGTGTAGCTGCAGTGGGACAGGAGTGGCTGCAGTGGGACAGGTGTAGCTGCAGTGGGACAGGTGTAGCTGCAGTGGGACAGGAGTGGCTGCAGTGGGACAGGTGTGGCTGCAGTGGGACAGGTGTAGCTGCAGTGGGACAGGAGTGGCTGCAGTGGGACAGGAGTGGCTGCAGTGGGACAGGTGTGGCTGCAGTGGGACAGGTGTAGCTGCAGTGGGACAGGAGTGGCTGCAGTGGGACAGGTGTAGCTGCAGTGGGACAGGTGTGGCTGCAGTGGGACAGGTGTAGCTGCAGTGGGACAGGAGTGGCTGCAGTGGGACAGGTGTGGCTGCAGTGGGACAGGTGTGGCTGCAGTGGGACAGGAGTGGCTGCAGTGG